GGGGTCCTGGGCTGCACCCGGCCCTCCGCCAGGGCCCCCACTCCCAGGCCCACTCCTGCCTATCATCCCAGCCATCTGGCCGGCCAAGGCCGTGCTCTGCCTTGCCCTCCCCCAGCCCACGTTTGAAGTTAATAAATGGAAGCGCCTATCGCAGCCACCATCGTGTGCCTTATCAGCACGGCACATCTATCTATGAGCAGCACAACAAAAGGCACGCGGAGCCGGGCAGCTGCGCAGGGCTTCGAGGGGGTGCTGGGCCCCTCCCCTCTGCGCTGAGCCTGGCCGCAGGTGAGGCTGGGGCAGCACACGTGTGGCTTTGAGGGCCCCATGCACAGCCGCGACCCTGCTCCGGGACGGCAGCGCTCCATCTTAACTTGCTCAGATCTGTGTCCGTGAGGGTGCACACAGAGCCCCACGCCCAGATCAGGCCCGCACCCTGCGCAGGCCCTGTCCCCGGTGAGCAAGGCGAGGCTGACCCTGCTGGGCTGGGCTCTTGCAGCCTTATCTGCACTGGAGATCGGTTCCCAACCTGCGATCTCCCTTCGCAAGCTATCTGCACCTCTCATCAAGTGAGTGCGCAAGCACACACACACACACACACACACACACACACACACACGAACAGAACCCAGCAGAGGCACACAGGGAGGAGGGGAAAGAAAGCAGAGAACCAGTGGGGACCGCGACCTGTGGGTGGTTTTAATGCTCGGGTTGACAGGATAGAAGGGGACTTTCGGAAGACGTGTCCCGTGTGCACCTGGGGGTTGTGCTGCCCCCCAGACCTCAGGCATGGGGACACCCACAGGCCAGTGCACCGAAGGTCCTGGGGGCAGTGGTGGGCACTGGGCAGTGGCGGCCCTCTCACCTCCACTCCGGACTGGCCGGGGGGAGGCGTCCAGCTCTGGCCACCGAGGCGCGAAGTTATTACTGGCGCGGGTGGGAGCTTCCTGTGCTCTTACTCCGTCCTAGCAGCCAAGTGGTCCCACGTCTCAGAGCCCCAGGAAGCACCAGGCACTCTTATCTTGGGGGCATCGGCAACCTGGGCATCAGTGGCCCTTGCTCCAGGTGAAACCCAGAAACCTGGATACGAAGGGGCAACCAGGGTAGCATGGGAGCTCCCTCCGGACTTGGATGTGGGGAGGGGCCGAATCCCCGCGGACACCGGCGACAGAACTCGTCGGCCCTGCGGTCAGTATCCAGGTGGGCGCTGCTGCCCGCCGCTGGCCCGCCCGCGAAACCCCAGGTGCACCGCTGCTCCCAGGTCTTTCTCCCTCCAGATACAAAGCCTGGGAGAGTGAGCGCGAGATAAGATCACAATTTCAGCCCGTCCCGACAGAGCGATCTTATCAGGATGGGACTTGCAGAATGGAATATTTTAAACTTTATCTGAGCCCAGATCGGGCCGCCCAATCGCCGCACCATCTCGGCGATGCGGG